CAGCGCCCCACAGCGCCCCGCAGCGCCCCGCAGCGCCCCACAGCGCCCGCAGCCCCGCAACGCCCCACAGCGCCCCGTAGCGCCACAGCGCCCCGGGAAACTCGACCCTGATTGCCCGCACTCTGGTTTGGCGGGCCTGCTTCGGCTTCCTCGATTCAACACTTGGCTAGGAGCTGCTCCATCCCTCCCCGGAAGACCCCGTCGTCTACTACGGCTCCTTGGCGGGAACTGAACCTGTTGCTGTTGGGCATGACGGGTAGCTATTGCATGAACTATTGCAGCCCCTCAGGTGACACCGTTTACCTTCGTGTGTTCCATGGTCGGTACATCGAGGTGCAAGGAAAGACTGCCAGAGCCCCAGAAACCCATTTCCCTCACGGCGGGACTGCGGCCCTTTCTCCCTCCTTTCTGATGCGCCTGTGGCTTCCCCATGCAGAAACCTTGTGCACGGCAAGCATCTTCTGCACGGTTTTGTCAGGTGGATTGCAATTGGCCAGACAAAGGAACATGGCAGGCTGTTGCAGCCAACCTCTTCGAAGCAATGATGTCTGGGCGAGAAATTGCGGGCATCGTCATCCTTGTAAGACATCTAGAGTCGGTCTCTGTCTCTGCTGGGCGTGATGAGTTGCTTGCCAGTTTACCAGATATGCAAAAAGCAGCTGGTAAGTCGGAGTACGGAAACCTAAAGCCTCGAAGGGCGTGGCATAGGCCAAAGTCAACGCTCCGTTCAGAGGAAGAACACATTATGCTACGGAGCCCGGGGGCAGGCCTTCTCCTTCTGCGCACCTGATGGGGATGCTGCAAAGGACGGAATGTACGGAGCCAGATTCCAGAGAAAGTGTTCTTGGGCCCTTTTCAATTTTCCAGGAGCAGGGAAGCAGGCCAGGCCTGTGTCGAATCGCTTCCGCTCAATGGACCCAGAGCTCACAGTCTAGCGGTCTGGCCTGGCAGAGCATAACAGTAGCTTTGAGCAGGCGTCCCGTGCGACATCGTGACATGCTGCGGATCCGAGCGCACAGGGGTAGCTTCCTGGCCGTACCCAGCGCCTCAGATGTATTGGCCATCTTTGCTTTGTGGGTGGCAGCGCACATGTGCACACAGCGACAAGTTCAGCGTGTGGAAGTCTTTTGTGTTTGTCACCAGTTAGGTGCAAACACCTGTTAGGAAAAAGCAGCTGCTGAAGCCGTTGCAGCTAGAATTTTTTCAGCTTGTTCAATCTAGAGCCTCGCGTGCCAAGCCATGTCAGCACGAAACCACCTTGGTCCTGATTGTTCTGGCTGCACTGACGGTGCTATGCGAGGCCACAGAAGATGAGCTGATGGACTCGCTGGGCGAGTTCCGCGTCTCGCACGGCGCAAGGTTGGCTGCCCTGCTGACCCAGTCAGCTGCCGTCAGCAGGGAGAGCAAGCCACCTATGATGCGGAGGCTCAGGTGGGAGCCATCTTTGGTGACTTGCCCGATGACGTGGGCTCTGCTGAAGTGGCTCCCTGGGATGCAGAGCAGGATGGCTTTGTCAGTACTGGTGAAGCGGTGCCCGCTAGTACAGGCCAAGGTGGGGTCCAAGATACCGAGCACGGCTATGTCAAGGAGGTCATTGTTGAACAGTCGCTGCTTGTGCCTCTGACACAGGAGGGCTGCTTGGCGGACACCCGCCCGTCCCCGCCGCGCAAGCCGACTTTGGGGGCAAGGCGCCGCCACCTTGCCTCAGCAGACCACCTCTTCTACCAGTTCGACGACTGACTGAAGGACAGCATGCGCAGCCCTGTCAGCAGGACCAGACACTTTCCAAAGAAAGCCGTGCAGAATCAGAAGCGGGCGCCATCGTTCCCGCCAGCAGGTGTTCGAAAAGATGGAACTCCTCCCGCTCGGCCTCCTCCTGCAAAGCCTTGCAGTCAGGCCGTTGATTAGTTGAGGGCGTCCAACGGGTGGGGAGAGCCGGGCTGAGAGCCGCGCGGCCGTTCGTGTGGGTTGCCACGTGGTTACACCTGGAGACCCTAAAGGCTCAGCCGTCCCAGTTCGTGATGCCGAGCGATGTTCCACCAAGAGCCCCGCTGGTTGCTGCAGATGGGATGCCTTTCATGTTAGCCCCCCGGACGACTGAGACCTGAACTCATTGGCTACCGCAGGGCACACAGCCGCCCGTGCACCCAGTTAGAGGACTGCAGGTACTTAGATCGTGAACGCCATGGGCATGGCCTGGCCAGTCTACACCGGCTTTTACCTGAACACTCGTCAGGGACAACCTGTCAGTTTTGTCCCATGGGGCATGAGCCTCATACAGTGCAGCAGCCCGGTCAGGTTCAGCTGGCGAACAAGAGTCGTAACGATTCCAACTTTTCTGACAGAGTGTCTAGGTTGCCAGAGGAAAGACCCAGAGTTCGCCTTTTAGAGGCTTGAGCGGGTTGGTGGTACGAGACCAGTTAGCGGACCACACCACTCCGCGGGTGGTGGCAAAGAGGCTCACGTTGGTGTGTGCGCTTCCACGGAGCCTAGAACTTGTCGGGCAGTGCACGTGTGCACACAGTGACAAGTTCAGCGTGTGGAAGTCTTTTTGTGTTTATGACCAGTTAGGCGCAAACACCTGTTAGGAAAAAGCAGCTGCTGAAGCCGTTGCAGCTCGGGATTTTCAGCTTTCCCTCCACACCTGGCCCGGAGGAAGTTCTGCGGACCGACCAGTTCGCCTTTTGGAGGCTTTAGCAGGTTGGGAGTGTACGAGACCAGTTAGCGGACCACGCCTCTCCGCGGGTAGTGGACAAGACCCTCACGTTAGTGTGTGCGCTCCCACGGAACGTAGAACTTGTCCTCTGCGCTGGTCCCGCTGTTGCCTTCTGGTGGAGTGGATGGGATGTGAGACTGTTTGCTCGTTGGCCGCTGGAGGCAACGCTGCCACTGGCGCGCCCGTGCGAGTCCCAGCATTGCATATCACGGAAACGGGCAGCGTGGGACCCTGAATGCTGGCAGCACTGTGTGCGCTGCACCCTGCCTTTGTTGAGGTGACGACTACACGCAGCAAAACATGCGCAGAAGCCCAGTTCGAGGCCGGGAAATAGCATCGCGAAAGAATCCGAATCGCGCCAAATGAATGCGAGTATGACTCGGGAGGTGTTTCTCCAGCACACCAGCGTCTTGAAGCATCGCGGGCTTGCGCGCTGAGCCCAGAACTTGCAGAGTATGACTTCTAGATTCGTTTCGACCCCAGAAGCATCGGGCACATGTTGTCAGGCAGGAGTTGAGGAGCCAAATCTACTTTGCTTGGCCTCTTTGCGGCTTATGCTCAGGTACTTCTTCAGCCGCGCGACTGCCACCACTCTCGACGCAGACGAGGACGAGTCGGGCATCCGCGCTCGTTGGGCGGATTTCGGAGATTGGCAGGCGGAATGGCGGAAGTGGTGGAAGTGGAGGGGTGTTGAGGGGTCCGAATACACGCCTTACAGATGCCTGCAGACAGGCGTTTGCAGTTGAGCGACCTCCGGAGCTGCAGCGCCATGTGGCCTTGGGAAGTTTAACGAAAGAACCGCCACGTCAAAGACAGCGAGGCACCGGTAGGGGCAAGCCGTCGAGGCATGTCGAGGTCTTCGAGGCCGTCGCACGTCATGTTTTCTACGGGCCATAGCAGGCCGACGTGGATCAAAGGACAGCCAGAATCTCAGATGTGTGTTGCTCCTCGAAAAAGCCGGGCCCGGTTTTTCACGGACCCTTGCACCCCAATTGCGTCGGAGCCAGGTCCCATTAAGGCAGCAGCGGAACGTCCTTCGCCCGGCGCTGTGAAGCGCAAAGCTCTTGAATTGGAGAGCACAGCATAGCACAGTCACGGCTCCTCAGCCTCAAGTGCCTCAGTCTTGATACTAATGCTCATGCTCCGAATCAAAGTTTTTTCCAAAAAGCGTTCGAGAATGTGCATGCTCTCAGAAGAAACACGCTCGAGTCTTAGGGCTTCGAGATGGATGGGCTGGTCCATGCGTGTAGGATGCCTGAGCTTGCATGATGTGACATGCTCATGGGGCACTCGATAGACCAGCCCCTCTTGTAGTTAGTGTATGTGAATGGATCATGACAAAGACTGCATGACTTACCAGGGCTTTCTCTGGAAGCGAACTTTGCTCCAGATGTTTGCTCCTACGTCTTCGACGTCTTCAATCCTGCTTGGTTCGTTGCCTGTAGACGTGAGAGAGTACCTTCCAGTACAGGTGTGGCCATCTGTTTTGGTGCCTGTTTTTGCTTCGGCTGCTTTGTGACTCTCTGGAGGCTACCTTTGAAAACCTCTTCCAGTAGTATGCTTCCTGTCTCACAGAGCTCGCCAATGTAGATGTAGATTGCAGAACTGCTGGCAGCAATGTGAGGCCTGCTACTGCCTGCAGCAAGCACGGGGAAACTGTTTGCTGCTCGGGTTTGTCTCCGCTCGCACTGGCTTTCAAGGAAGGGGCTGTTCAATCGCAAGGGGCTGCTCTGATGAAGGCATTGTAAGGAGCCACCCCTTGCTTACAGTCAGTCTTCCAACACCTGCAAGCGGGCTGGGTTCACATCTAGGATCTGCGACCTCTGCAAGTCCGGATGTTGCATGCTGGAGGATGTGCGAAGCAGGAGCGCCTCCATGCAAAAGAGGTGGGCAGACTGAGTGCCTGGGCTACTGCCGTTCCAACCCAAGGCTTTGCCAGGACGGGTGACTTTCTCGGCAGTTTTGCTCAAGGGACGTTGGGCGGGGGCAGTTGCACACACAAGTTTGTTGACAAGCCGCGTCCTTAGCTTTCGCAGCTGCGGAGGGTGTTGTTTTTTGTCAGGAGCAGGTCTCTGCAGCACGTGTCACACCATGCTGAGTCCGCCCAGCTGTGCAGGATGCTGCCTGCAGTCACCAGGCTCGTCGCTGGTGTGGCGCCACGCGCCTCTGGACACCCCCCGAAAGCAAGATCGCATGCCACCGGAATGTTTTTTGTTGTGATGCATTGCTATCAAGACGCTTTTCTCATGGCAAGCTTCTATGAAGGAGGTGTTCTCAGAGCTCAAGCACTGCGGCCCTTGCTTCATTCGAAGCACAGGCTTCCTGCCCCTATGTTTGGAACTTTTCAAGTCTTACATCGCCTATGTATAGGTGCTTCTCCATGCCCAGCATGGCCAAGGTGGTCCCTGCCTGAGACACTCGGAGAAGAAGAAATGTTAACAGGGAGGGCGACGTCTGTCGTGGCACTTGTGGGCTCGAGCTTTGAGCTCACCAAAAGGGACGTGAGCAGGCTTTTCTCTGCCTCTGAGGCCAAAGACCTGCAAGCTGAGATCAGTCACGAGCAGGTTCCGACTGGCACATATGGCTTTCTGTCACCAGCGCGGCCAAAACCGCCAGGAGCAGTATCAGCAGGCGAAGGCCGGCTGCTTCTGCACCGGCCTGGAAAGTAGCCCGTCTCCTTTTGAGTGACCTGCATCGAGGAGATTCAGAAGTTCCTGAAGAGCACTGACTTCAAGCTCGTTGAGACCGAGGCTGGGCCTTCTGAAGTTCGAGAGTCGATCGGCACCCTTCCGGTTCGCGCTGTGTGTATTCAGCCAAAGCTAAGCTGTCCAACTAATATTCTCGCTTGGACTGCCTCTGCGTCTACATACCTATGCCTGGCTCTTTCTGTGGCTTCTGCTTTCGCTTCTCGACGTGAGCGACGGGATTGGATGGGTCAGGGAGATGTCAACATGCAGCTGGAGCGGACAGTCGGCGACAAGCAGGCCTCCCCGCTTTATCATGCTTTATCTGCAATTCCGAGACCTTCCGTTTGGCGTTGATGTGGGGTCCACAGTTGTGTTCGGCATGGGCTGCTAACGCAGCGGCAATGCCACAGCTGAAAGGAGGTGAGTACGTGCATGTTTGGTAAGCATCCTCCGCGAAGTCCTACAACTGCCACAGCCCCTGAGGATGGTAGACTCAGTTGTGTCATCATGCTTCATTTCTCATTGAGTCCCATCTGCGTCCATGTTCGTAGTACAAGAAACACGGCTGCAGCAAGAAGACCACTGGGTCATGACTGTCTCAAATGGCCACTCTAGATTCTGCCAACCCATTCCGTGGTGGCCAAGGTGACAATCGAGTGGCAGCTCACGAGCCCCTTCGATCCCACTGCGGATGTGGAAGGTGGGGACCAGGACGCTGGTGCGGAGTATGTGTCAGCCTCAGCCTCCGCAAGCCTTCAGCATGAATTCAACACTGTGCAAGTGCTGCAAGTGCACCCGTTAATGCATGGAGCTGACGTCTGGCCGCCTGTGCCGACTTCGATTCTGCTGCAAATTTAATAGCCCTCTGCTACACCTTGCAGAAAGCAGCTTCTTGTAGACCGTCCCTGTGAGAACCATGCCACGCCTTGAAGGCCATTGGCATTGGGCAGTCCCAAAGCATTCTGCAGAGACAGCCTGTGGGCCCTAGACTCAAAGCGACGACCTGATTAGGAAGCTACCGACTTCTGCATCACCCTGGAGAGCAAGTCCAGCGGCTTTGCTCAAGATGCATTCAGGTTGTTCCGGATGTCTTGGAGGGTGATATGACATTGTGACATTGATGCCATTGCATCACAGCCAGGGTGGCCGTATATGCACAGCATATACAAGATCGGAGTGCCATATAAGTCATATAAGCCTCTCGAAATGCTGAAATGCGACACATAACCAGGGGACCATGAGACAATCAGGAGGAAGGCCCCTTGTTTCGAAAGGTGGTGCGGGCGTGTCCTTCTACTGCAGCACGCAGACCGGCGAGGATCATCGCTATGCTCGTGCCTGTGAATCTCAGGTTCTCTTCTGACAAATGTGATGACAGAATTTAAAGACGTTTAGAAGGATGCCCTTCAACAACCTAAGGTCATCGGCAACGTGAAGTCCTTCGCAAGCAAGGAGGCAGCTTTCAGTTTCATTTCAGCGCGGGGTCTGCCTCAATCTGCTGCCGGGACGCTCCAGTCTTTTCCAGGAGAAAGAGAGCATGAGCGCCTACAACGGCTACCTGGCCAAACTTTAGACTGAGAAAGGCCGACGTTTGCGCTGCTGAGGCCCTGAGTTCGAAGACATCGATGAGAAGCTGCAGGACAGCTTCTGTAGTTGTGTTCGGAGCTTCCTCAAGGGAGAGCCCTAAAGCTTCGAAGATTTGGGGGATGCACAAAATGTGGCAGCGTAGTGTTTTCTAGAGATTCTAGAGGTCTCTTCCCACACTGGCCTCTGGAGTTTCTGCGGACGCTCTCGCCACCGGTACGGGTTGGGTTTTTTTGGGCTTCCACGGGCCTTTGTCAGGAGAGCTTGGACGAGCTGCTGGCCGAGGCAACGTTGAGTTCCGGCAAGGGTGGTGTAAGCAATAGAGCAGGAACCTGAATAAGACTGGAACCTGAATAATGCTTCCAGTGTATAAGAGGCGGGCATCAGCACAGAGCTGTGCGACTTCATTGATGCCATGGCTCTGGATAAGGCCGGTTGTGGCACAAGTCCCGCCCGCAGCAGCTCTCTTTCTGTCGTGATGCCCTGAACCAGTGCCTCTGCATAAGAGCCCATACTGCCAACGCAGGAGCAGCGAGAATACATCCGAGACCTAGCTGACCTAACTGCAACGTTTCTCGTGGGTTGGTTCTTGAATCCATCGAGAGTAAGACGACGAAGGGATGGTTTGGTGTGCTGGGCTGTTCGTCAGGATGGCCAAGACAGCAAGCAAACATAAAGAGAGGAAGGATCATTGAGATGAGAGAGGAACGTTGGAAAAGTGCACCGGAAATTCACTCTCTTCGGTATTCTGATTGTTGGAGTTTCATTTTGCAGGCAACGGGCTTAGAGCATCGGACAGTGTCGGTCGAACTAGCTTTCATGCTTTCGATACGACAGCAATCGGCATGGAAAGCACCTGCGCAGCAACTGTAAGACATTGCGAGACTTAGGATTCGGGGTTGGAGGACAATGCAACCATGGCAGTGCATGCCACAACTCAGGATGGCTCAGCAACCTGTGGCTCGGCAGCACGGAAAAAGGGAGCTTGACTTACGGCTTGCTGGTCTTTGTTCTGACGATGGCCTCGCGTCCCAGGAAGGAGTTCATGGAGAAGTGAGTGCGGCATCGGCCAGAGCCAGACTTTGCCTTTGCTCGAATCACACTCCCGCAATAAACCGCCCCTACGCCAAAAGGTAAGCCTGCTTTGCTGAACCGAGATGCCCACAACTCACCTTCTTGACAGGACATGCTGCGCCCCCCATCATTCCCGACTTGGAGTGTGACTTGCTTGTCACAGCTGAAGCCGATGCAGCTGACTGTCCAGAACCTCCCAACAGTCGAGATCACAGTGATCCATAAAGTGTTGCCCGTTCAGACAAGTTGGCCTGCATGGTGGTTGCAGTTGGCGCGCTCGCCAATTTTGATCTCCCGATGCAACGGAGAAATCTTGAGCCCTTGAGCATGAGACGGATGGCCCCTCGCGTTTGAGTCAGCTGCTCGAATTTCCCAAAGCTCGGCATAGTTAACTCGTCTATGCTAGTTTGAAAGGCTTGTTTCCCAACTCTTGACGAGCACGATCATAGAGCTGGTTGGACCGTTGCCTGAATCACTGAAGAGCTCGAGCTTACAGCCCCGAAGAGGTGTGCAAGGAATTGGGAATTTGGACAAGGCTTGAGTGGTCCATCACCTCCGCGGCCCTGTCTTTGTCCGAGCTTGACCGTTAGACTCAAGGACAAGATGACAAACCCACCCTGACTTATTCGGGCAGAATCCCTACCAGACAAGCTGTAAAGCCGCAGTACACTGTCTCGAGCACTCGAGCTTGATCCGACAGGCACAGCCAGGATGCAGGAAGCTGAAAGAACTACACTGCCCCAGTCGCCGTGCAGGCCGAAAGCCATGGACGGCAACGATGCCATGAAGCTCCTGGTGCCCACCGCGGCCTTTGCTGTCGGAGCTCCTCGGCCCAGTAGCCCTTGCAAAGCTGAAGAAGCCTCCTCGATAATTCCGACGCAGGTCGGACTGTTGTTGTATTTCTGGCCAAGGCTGGCATGCCAAGAGCTTTCAGCCAGAGTGTCAGTAGCCTCCTAGCTTCTCGTTGAGGCCACCGAAGGTCTTCCTGACGCGGGAGCGGAAGCGAGTACAGGCGGATCACCGAGCACTGGGTGAGACTTGCCACCTTTGTTTTGCGCAGTGTTGCGGCTGTCTGATCCCGTGCTAGTGCTGGGCAACACTGCTACTTGGCACCCGCTCTCGCCGCTAATGATCGTTTAAGTTCTTGAACAAATTACGTAGCCTGCGAAATTAGCTGGATGCCCGCCAGAGCGGTGAACAGGCTGCACCAATGCGTATTGATAGAGAAGGACCTCAACTAGTGCTGGTGAAGGTGTCTGATGTCGTGGAGCTGTCCCATGACACAAAGCGAATCCGACTCTCTTTCGGAAGTAAGAAGATGATTCTTGGTCGGAGCCACAGGTAGACTTCAATGTGCCCGGTGTCTCCGACACTGCTGAGGTTTGCCTGTGGGCAAGCACATCGTCATCTATGCCCCGAATCCCCCCAGTGCCATCTCGTCGAAGAGTTGGAATGGAAAGTCAGCTCCAAAGTGGGTCCAGCATGTCAGCATCCAAGGGTTTCACTTCTTCCTAGCCAGGCCGGACCAAGACAAAGGCAAGCCTGAGATTGACAGGAAGTGACCGGACCTTATATGCGTCTCAGACCCAGCAACAGTCAGTAGGCACATTCCGCGTTCTCACAAGTCAGCCTGCAGGTACACACCAGTGACCGGAAACGAGGCGTCGGGCTACGTTGATCTCGTGGCTTACGACTCAGCATTGTGAAATATCATCAGCTCCACATTATTTCTGCTGCACGGCCTGACTGAGTTCCTGCGACTCATGAAATTAGCCTTCTTGCTCCTGAGGGCTGCTACAGTATATTGTGGATCAAGGATGCGACCTTTATTGCCTCCGGCGGGGTGTACACCAGAGTTGGGCCAAGGCATCCGAAGTGGGTCCCTGGGTGGGATGGCAGCAGGAGTGGGGCCGGGTCCGGGTTGGATGCCCAAGCTGTTGTGGGACCTACGCGATGTTGGGCAGGGTGGGGGAGCAAGTGACTGGAAATGAGGGGAGCCCCCGAAAGAAGAGTGTCTTCCCCCGAGAACCCAAGGGCAGGCGACGCGCATTCGTAGCCGAAAGATGCAAGGCGACCGACACCGACATCGACGGGACATGACTTGCCCTAAGTTGTGCGATTGCAAAGGTCAAAATCTACAGACCCGGAACGGTCAAAATGCCGGATGGCAAGGAGATGAAGTGGGAAGACGGTGCGGTGACCTATTGATATTGAGTGGCATAGCTCCATCACAGCTGTCTGTTCTATACAACCAACCGAACCGAAGGCCTGTGGCCCTTTTCGGTTCTTGAGGTGGAAAGATGGGCCTCTACCTCGATAGCAATCCTGCCCATTGGGGAATTCCCTCCTTCGGACAATGCCGCGACTGCCTGTGCACCATATGGCAGGCAAGAAGCCTGGGGATTGGATTGAGATTGCAGGCGCTGTGTGGGTTTGTCTCTCCCTGGAAGTCCTTCCGTGTCTTCGTCTCCAGTGACATGGCGTGACAGGGCCACTTGGTGTCAACGAGTACCTGGGCCAAGGAACTTTCAAACTTCCGGGTAAGACTGTGCTTGCCTCGGCTCGAAGTCCAGGTCGTCCTTCGCCCGTGAACTGCGAACTTCTCTGTCTTCGCAGGTAACCGTCAAACACGTTGGGATGTTGGCGGGCGGAACTGGGCTGACCCCGATGCTCCAGGCAAAGTTGGGTTGTATCTGTTTACATTGAGAGGTTTTAACTGAGCATCACCGCCATCAAGCAAACTTGGGCTTGGAAAAGACATGCAGGGAAGCAGGCAGCGGGCATGGGGTAACACTCCTTTAGGAGGTGGCTTTCCTAAGTTGGACAGCATTTCAGCCAAATTTAGGCCGCATGCGGTCGGAAACGACGATGGAAAGAGGCTGCAAGAGGCAGAGACACAGACATCGAGCTGATCACATAAAGGAGCGCAGGGATGATATCATCGTCAGACGTCTACACCGACAGATGCGGCAGACTTGTCAAACTTTCTGCATGATCCCTTCGCTCTGCTCCTTCCTTTCGAATGCAAGATATGCCATGATGTGCCTCAAGAGCGATTTTTGAAAAACATGTATGAGAATTGCACCACCAGCCCGCGTCGGGCCGTACAGCTTCAGAGTCTTAGAGCCAGAGCTTTCTCCAAACGCAAACCAGCGCAACAGAGAATGCGGGTTTCGGGCGTCTAAACACAACACTTGGATCCGCCTTCGCTGTTGAAGTCAGTTGCAGCGTATCAAACCAGACGTGATGCTTCGGTCCGAATATGTTACAATATATTATATAATATATAGTATATGACAATATAGTATATGATAATATGATGCAGCATGGTATGTATGTATGTATGTATGTATGTATGTATGTATGTGTATGTATGTATATATGTATAATGAAGTCGGAAAGCTTCTTTTGCACTTTGACTCTCTCTTGGATGCCCGCTGCTTTTGTCACCTGGTCGAGTCCTCAGTCTGACATCGATGTCGGTCAGGCCTGCACGTGCACGGGCCAGGGGTGAGAATCGGCCACCAACGCTGATGCTGGCAACGCTGGGGGATGTTGGGGGATGTTGGGGTTCATGCTGCAAGGGACTTAGGAGACTTAGGAGGAAACCTGCCTTGCTGTCTGACTCATTTCGTAGCTGAGGTCAGCTAGCATCAGGTAGATGGAAACTCTGTCAGGTGGTGCAGGCCGCGCTTCGAGATGCTAGTGACGCTTGCAACTTTTACTTGTGGCCCAGCTGCAGCCACGAAGCGGTGTGCATGCCGATTGCAAGGGCCCAGAGCCCATGTCTCAAGAACCAATCTGGACTGGCAGGATCTACGCGAACAAGACTGACAATGATATCTTGTGCGGTCGACTGAGCAGTAGTCCTGCGCTGTGGGTCTGTGGCTCTTACCGAACAGAGACCTGACATCAGAAAGCCGACGATCGCTTACTGGGGTGCCCCTTGTATCATGCCGTTGGCCAAGGCCGGGACATGCTCGACGACCTCGCCAGAAATAGCAAAGGCCACTTCTTCTTACGCTGATGATGATGGTAATGCTGATGGCTACTACCATCAGCATTCAGAGTTGTCGAAGTGGTCTCTCAGGTCGGTTTAAGCTGTACTACACCCTGGATTTTCCGCCCGAGAACTGGGCGCACAAGACCGGCTTCATCACCGCCGACATGCCCCGCCTGCAGTGTTTTCTTGTAGCCGTCGCGCGAGTCGTCTTGTCGCGTTGTAAGTGTAAGGAGTCGGAAGGTAGTGGTTGAAGTAGCAGTAGCAGTAGCAGCAGCAGCAGCAACAACAACAACAACACCAGCAGCAGCAGCAGCAACAACAACAACTACTACCACTACCACTACCAATACCACTACTACTACTACTACTACTACTACTGCTACTACTACTACTA